CCCCCCAGGACCCCCCTCCCCTGATTATAGAGAAGCATCGTCTAGAACAAAAACTCAGGGCAGTGCGATAATTTCCAGCTATATCAAAGACCAGAACTCTATATAGTTTAAATGCATCTTAACATACTAGATTAGACAAGATACCAAAGTGCGAAATCCTAGAGAACAACCAAAATAAGTTAGATCAAGCTGGCAGACACACGATGCAACTTTACAAGGATAAAGGCCACAAGGTACCATTAAAGTCAATACATAAACTTGACACAGAAGGTAAGAAGGCAGAGTAACGTGACAAACTGCTGCAACAGGAAGACATCATGACTGACTTTCAGACACCCACACTGAGCAATGCTGGACGACAACTCTGGACCTTCTCAAACATGTCTTAGTACTCACTGGAACAGTAGACGAGTAAAATCAATACATGCAAAGGTACAAACGAAAAAATAAATAAATAGAGAGCGGACAGGCAAGCACTGCAAGATCAATGATAATACATGAGAAGTGATCCAATACATAAAATCTGCCAATATAATTGAACAAAAATATAGTTTTATTACAAATATAGAGCTGGTCAAAGGCCAAGACCACTTCAAAGAACAGAAAATAGTAAAGTACACGCATCACACAACAGACCTGATCATTTTCTGATGCTCCTGGGGAAGAATTTAAAAGGCCAGAAGGTTTATCAGCTCCACAATTCTGTCGGTTACATTTAGTCCTGAAAGGGTAGTTTATGTTGTTGCATTTCTCACACTTCCAGCTCCCCTCTGGCATGTCTTGTTCTAAATTACGACAGTAATGAGTACACAGTATGCATATCAAAGAAAGTCACATTTATGATTTAGGACTTACTTGCATTCTTTCCAGATCTTCCACTCTGCATCACAGGCAAAATAATTGATGGTAAATAGATATATATACATGAAATGTAACCAAGAGCCATAAAGAAAGTAGGCCCACAAAAATCTAAATAATATATTCAACGTTCAGCATCATGAGTAAAGAAGACATGCCAGTAGCACCAATGCATATTGAAGTTTCAAGAGTTCTCGTGTCAAGGTTTATAATAGTGCTGGTGCATAACACCAAAGATTAGTATCTCAAACCTGTGATTCAGGCTTAGGAGTGTTGCATTTCCTCATGTTACAAACTGTTCTGAACGAGTAGTTGACATTCCCACATTTGGGACATTTCCAATCATCATCACGCATTCCACCTAGAAGTGCATGTATGTGTATAAAAAAGTGTTAATATTAATATAAATGCACAAATATCAATTCATAAATCAGAATTTAGAATACAAACGAGATATTGCACACCTCCACCTTTCTTTTGAGGTTCATCCTCAGGGTAAAAACCGGGTCTAGGCCCCTGTAGAAAGTATAATAGCTTAATAGCTAAAGAAACTATAGCATATAGAAGAACAAATTCATTTCTCAAGAAATTAAAGACAAGAAGATGAGCAATAATGACAGATTTTACAATGAAACAAATTTTACAAGCTATCATTTACCATCATTATGCCATGGCATACCTTTGTTATTCATAGAATTTTAGCCATGCATAAGGTATCAAACAAACAATTTTCATCGTAAAAAGACCCTTTATAATTTGTTTCTAAAGGAAGGAAAAAGAACCTTATATTGCTTACCATGGCAGGGCCCATAGGCAAAGCCAAGCCATACCTGTCCATCATTGCTGGCACACCATACATTCCACCTACAAGTTGGGAAATACCACCTAACAATATGAATAAAAATAAAATGAAGTTTGACAAGGACTGGATATATATTAATTTAAACAAGACAGATACTGGAAAAGAAAATATTACCATTTCATTTTAACTCATAACAGTAATCAATATAAAACAGGTAGTGGGTATAAACAAGTCAATGAAACCACTGTGCATAAACAATGTCAATCAAAAAAATTTCTCTAGTTGTTGAGAGCTGTTTTCATAACTTATCTCAGCAAAGGCGTGAAAAAGGATTTAGACATATACGAGAACGAACATACCGTTTGCCATCATGGATCCACTGGAGTAAGGGGCTGGACCAGATAAATGCAAGGGTCGATATGGGCTGCCTCCAGCAAGACGGCTTCCATAGTTATAATGATATGCAGAGCCCCCAGTGAATGGGACATCATAGGGTGGCATAGATGTCCCACTGAATAGAGAAGAACCATAAG